AGTTGAACGGACGGCTGCGTTGTAAACTCTGCCCTTGAGGGCGAGAGTAATGTCGCGTCTGCGCCACAGGTGGCGGAGATCGGCAAAAGCACCTCGAGCTTTTTCCAACAAACCTTCTATCCCCGATGCAAATATTTGCGGATGATGCTAAAAGATGGAGAGCAATTCGCTCAGTATCCAACCCTGTCTACTTCCAGGAAGGTCTGACTCGGATTAACAGATGGGCAGAAAAGAACCAGCTCCCACTGAACGCTGAAAACTGACGCCTGCTGACGCTGCGTAGCAACTCCGTCAACACATTTTTTTGGGGAACATGTACTAGTGAACCCGAATTAAGTATCATCGCGCAAGCAGGTCTTGACAATTCTCTCCAATCTTCGAAAGTGGCAACGGTGGCGAACTTAAACTTGAGGCTTTTGAGGCGAGCTCTCGGTACCTTTGAGCGACGGCTACTACCGTTGCTGATTAATTGATATATTCGTCCTCACGTTGAATATGCAATGCAGACCGTGTCCATGGTTAAAAGGAGATATTCAACTATTGGAAAAACCCCAAAGAAGAGCCACAAAGGTAATGCGTGAACTATCCTGTCTCAGTTGCGAACTGTTTCTTCGTTTACTCGGTGTGTTCTCCTCAGAATACCGGTGGCTTCGCGGATATCTCATTCTCATACCGAATACTAACTGAAAGCGAGCATCCATGTACATCACTGTTGGCTAGCCCCCTGGAAACAAAGCCGGGGCAACCACCTGAAACTGATGACGCAACACTCCCGTCTGAATTGTAGGAAGTAGCTTTACTCACTTAAAATCTGTTCTCACTAGAAAGCATTACCAAGATATGTGGTGAACGCACTAGATATGACAACAGTTGAAGGACCCTTAGACTTCATTTTAGTGCTAAATGCTACACAACAATTGGCTAAAGTGCAATGGCTTAATGACTGACTTTTCACATTTTTAGTTGGAACATTTAGTTTTTAATTTCTTTTGCATATCCATCCTGTGGCTCTGATGAAGTTATGTTTTTTATCCCATCATCCACTCTTGAACTAGTGAACTACGAAGGGGGTTCGAGCAGTTTTCCCCTACAGCTTCCCACATATGCTCAACGCATATGTGAGGCCCTTGTAGAGTACGCAATTCAAGCGTGGCAAACCTGGCTAAAAGGCGATCTGTTTGCACATGAGGCGAAGGGCAATCAAAAATCTGACGGAATTTTTTCAGCTGCCATACTATCTGCGACCGGAAACCCTAGGGTTGTACTGCGTACTTTATCACCGTCTACAGGTCGACCTCATTCTGACATACCAGAAGTAGAAAAACACCTGTCGCGCCTGCCACCACCTCTTCAAACTTAGTCGAAACAACAAATTGAGGGGCCACCAGATGAAACTGGCCACCCAATAAAATCGGTTAGAATGGCGTCGGAATTATTTTTCCCTTCGACGTTTTTAACCGTGGTACGCTTCTTCGACTTTTGTCTACTCTGCGCCCATACTCGCGATTCTTAAGGATCGACTTGACGATGCATTACGCCATCTGCAATACTTTATTTGAATTCTGATCATCAGTTGTCGACAAGACGCAGACAAACATTATGCCCATCAACCCCTTCGAAATCGGGGTAAACGGACATACACGTATTGTAACATGGATATAATGTTGAGTCCACAAATGCGCGTTTCACTTTAGCGTTACGCTTTTTGAACTTACGCAATTCACACAGTCCATTCTATTTGGCCCGTCAAGGCGCAGCTTCTCATCTGTACTACACCGTTGTTATACCCTTGTTCTAAAAATAGCTTTAGATCATGGTGCTAAATCAACACTGGAGCTCATTGCTTAGGATTTCAAAGAGCTTGGGATAAGGAACAGTGCGCTTTAAGATCTCACTGTTCAGGAAAGCAAGCGCAGCTTGTATTTACCTTCACTTACATGTTCTGCCATACACAGAGTCAGCTACAAAGATGTGAATCGCTTCAGAGACATCAGTTCCTAAGTGGCTAACAGGACGTCATCTGTGAAGGTTATTGCCAAATGCTTCCTGAAGTAGACAAAAACAACGTACAATTAACTGTCGGAATCTAAGGGCGTCACGCATCTTTCCGTGGCAAGAGGCTGGTTAAAGATGCATAAGCATACGCTTCAGAAGCCATACTGAGCACAGGAGAGGTTATATAGTTTCTTTAGTTAAGCTGCAAAGTCGTTCCAATGACCCATTACATGACTTTAGACATTATTGATGTCAATCAAATCTGCAAACAGTCTGCTGGGTCCTGATGTCCTCCGCACCTTGCTGTTGATGTATTGCTCCTGTTGCCGATGTAGGCGTATTACATCGTTTAGGAAGCTATGATATCCTTACTTTTGCAAATCGGCAGAAGTTCGAACTACATATATCCTTAGCTTCATGAAAATAACTCAGCCAACATTCTGTTGTATATGCGGTATAGGTAGAAAGGTTGGTTGTTGTAAAATTAATGCTACCGTACGAGTAATCCTCTATGAATCCTGGAAAGCACTCTCAGTTCCCTCGAATTTATTCCAGAAGAGTGTGATGCGGAATATGGAGTTTCAGCGTTCTGTTTTGGCCATAACTACCTAGGCGCTGATACTAAAGTCGAGCACGATCCGGATTCCAAAAGAAGCAGGCTTGCTACTTGATGTCCTAATGAAGCTTTCATCGGAAGGAGGCTAATATTTACGATTATGTCGATACAAATGGGTTGTGAAATAGGAAAACCGAGAAGTTCTGAGGAATTCGGAAGATATTTCTGGAATTCAAAGTGTAGAGTCATTGCGACTTCATTTGAAGCACCCGTCATATGAATGGATTTAAGCAAGCAATTGAGATCGGAATCGCTGTTAACGCTGAAGTGAAGTTCAGCCCGCTCGTTCACTAGGACCGTATCTGACAAAGAAATTTGTTAGGTACTGTCCGTAATGTTGCAGGCGAGCGACATCATGTATTTAGCTGTTGCAGTAAACATGTTACCTTATGCAAGGCTGCGCTTGTGACACCATTTTCTTTGATAACTACACGAGCAGTTGCAAACATTCGTTTCACCGACAAGGTGGTCGGGGAAAGGTGATCACAGTAGGTTGCTTTTAGGTATGCCACTGTTCAAAAACTGAACAAGGTCTAATTATACGCTTATTGCATCCTTTGCCCAGCTGGCAGCCGAATTCCAGTCTTTCCATGAGGAGACGTACTATGATCCGTGTGAATATCTTGCTACTACTAATTATGGCAGTAAGATCTCAGTACGTTTCGCAATAAATCCATTAAATTGTAAAGAACCGAATGGTAGGTGATTGTTACAGGCATGGGGCACCATAGTGACACAACTACTGTTATGACAAGCTAGACGGGTCTAGGCAACAACGAGGAGTTTAACTGCCAGAAAACGAAGCGGGATTTATTATGAGGGGCTTGTTATCCCAACGCCACTCAAGCCTTTTGGTACCTAATGGTACGCTATATCCTTATGTAGGTGAAGAATGGATGCCTTTGTTTTATGGGGCCTCTGTCCTTACTGACTGTGGCAATTAAAATAGTTAAGAAAGACCAACTGTAGTCCACTGTTTAGTTTTTGGCGCTCCATAAACGTTTTCGTTGAACTACTGGTAGCATTACCGGAATATGGCTAATTTGTTAGAAAATGATAATACGCCGAGATTGGTAATACATAAAAGCAGGTGTGAACTGCTTCGACAGGAACACTGTAACCAGCAAGTTCACAATTTTTGGTTGTTCAGTATTTCATATTGCTATTTTGCCTTCAGCTAGCTCAGCCCTAATCGATCATCCGGCAGGACATGTCAAGCTGCGGCTTTTTTCTCCGCAATATACCATTGGCCATTAACCAATGATGAATTGCAAAACCTCATGCTTAAAAGATTCCGGATACTTTGGGCAACCTGACCGGGGCTGAACTGTCATCTTCTAGAAATGTGTAAAATGAGGTGATAATCTTGATTGAAAGATAATTGTGTTGTCACCCTAATTCGAGGAAACTGTTACTCTGTCACCTAGGAGTACAGGTAAATCCAGCTTTGAGTTCGATGATGAGCGGATGTTCTTTGCTTTCATTTTATGTGTCTCATTCGTTGCTCAATTCCTGCCTATGGATAAACTCAAAAGCCCTAAACCTGTGATGAGATCGGTTGGAACATCGTTTACCAGATCTACATTGCGCGAGCCGACTGAGTAACCATGTGAGTTCATACAGGCATTCAGTGTGGACTGTTTTCATTGTACATAGTGGTAGAGTTTAGGAAGAGGGAAGAAAGAAGCGAAAACTCATCGTGTTTGGACAATCAAGTTTCCTGTAGTTATGCCTTCTGTGTGCTGGAGCAGGTTGTCTTGTCCGTCCACAGAGGAGCTCGAGATCTGTGGTGCATGTTTGTTGTACCAAACATGACCATGCAACCTAGGCACAATTTCTTTGTTTAAACACACCGAGCGCGCAATGACAATTGTTATAGTTTGGCTTTGCATGTGTCAGTCTGCATTCCAAATGCACTGTAGCCTGTATTGTTTGAATGTACCACCGAGTTTTTACCTGCTGTAAGGCAGTGATTTATGTAAGTAGCAGGCACGACTAGATGTTTGCTACAAATAACCGTAATAAAATAAGTGGTCTACGTCCTGTGGTATTCGAGTCAGTATACAGGTAAATCCTCTCCCGGTGTCCAGTTTCTCCTTTTAGACAGCCAACAATGAAGCGTTCCCACGGGAGACTGCTTTTCTCCCGTCTAATACATTTCTGTAACTATTACCGACCAGTCATCATCATTCCTGAATACAAAATGAACGAAGGGAAAAAGAGTCACTTCAGGGCGTGATACATTGACCCAACGAGTTTTTACGGTTTCCAAGGAAACCGAAATATGCAGCTACGCCTCAGCAACTGATAGCGTGTGAAGCAGGATTGGAAGAGATGAGGCGTTGAAAACATTATACATGTTCACATAATACCCCGTGGCTTCACTCACCGTGTCAAACACTTCGAAAGCTTCTCTCGTCGCCTCACTGTCCAGCTCTGCGCTCGAGGGTTCGGCAGTTATGAGATGAACGAACTCATCAAATCCTATTTCGCCGTCACCTAGAAAGAAAGAGTGGGGGAAAATGTTTCATTCACAAGCTAGAGTTGACTGTTGGAGGCGTGGCTTCAGCTAATGTGGGTTGTTTCTTATCATCTCCTTTATCTCTATACTATGATTCAGTATTCGTTAGCAAGGCTAATGCTGCGGTTAAGGGAATGTAATGTATTCGTGCATCAAAGCATACCATACTTACTACTCGACTTATATTAGTTAAACCCATTATGCACTTGTGGGGTTGGCTCATTGTATGCGCGAAACTGGCTGGTGTCATGACTCTAACAGATGGGAGTACTTTTGGAAAATATAAGAAGTCCCGCAGTACAAAAATTTAGTGACAGAAAAAGGAATACTATCCGAATGATACAGTCGCTACAGCTAAATTAGCACATTGACACAAATTTTGATGGAAAGGGTGCTTATGAGATACCGACCAGAGTTGAACCTGTTCAAAGCTAATCACTTGAGGGTCAAACTTATTGTTATAACTGCGGTTGCTGGGGCGTACAGGCGTCAGAACGAAGACTTCACCGCGCCGGACAGTGTACTGACCGAACGTCAACTCACATGAGACACGCAATACAGTCGAGGATATATGGTGTGTGTGTGTGTGTGTGTGTGTGTCGGACACGCCACCTCCCATGGTCCACCTCATGCACAGTAGAGGGGTGGATAGGAGTGAAGTTCACGGTCAGAATTGTGGGACGACGTTTCACTTTTGACGCACCGCATCGTTCGGCGTAACATCTCCATAACACATCGGGTTCTTCAAGTTTAACTTGAAATTCCTTTCCACTGTATCAAGCGTTGCTAGCGGATCTCAATGGCTTAGTGCTTATGGCCTCGGCCGTGATCCGCTAGGCTCTGAGTTCCACCCCAGCTCAAGCTATCTCTACCTGCTGGGTCCAAACTAAGACGAAACCGCTGTCGTAGTGTGCCAGTGTTGACAGGAGCAACACCGAAATGTTTCCATTTCCATAACTATGGTGTAGCGTATTGTTCGCAACTTCCGAGATTACAGTTTAGTTTTATGAATTATGTCTACTAGAGTGCTACAATTTGGACATATGAACGTCCCATCAAACTAGCCAAAACCAACAACCATTAGCTGATGCTCCAACGAGTACCAACGAGATCCTTGTGACCATGGAAGAGACGTGAAACTGCCGCCATCGCAAGAAACAAAATTTTTATGCATACGCTCTGCAGTAATTGTTAAATCTGCGGAAGGAGGTTTCAGGATCTACTCGATCAAATGGTTTCGAGAAGTCCATTCAATAACGTCAGCTCCTATCTCACCACCAACTGCCACCACGTGCATCTAGCGGCTTATTGGTACAGGCGTGATTATGACGGAAGCCGTGCTCCTACTTTACTATGATATTGTGGTTTTCCAGCTAGAATATCAGCGTATCTGCGATACTCCATTCCATGCGTTAACGGGCGATAGCTTTCAAGGTCAGCCGAACTGCCTCCCACCTGGATGAAACTTTGTTCTCCGCTAAAGCACACTGCCAGAAACTGGCCATTTGTTCGTATAGATCACTGACCGTTAAATGCAGCGCCATCGAGTGAAGGTTGTTTGCTCCAGAAAGACTGTGAGGACGCATGGGTAACCGTTTACCCTAGTCACACACAGCTTATTTCACGGTCCTGACCTCTCACCATCAGTGACGTGTAGCACTGAGCAAGTCAGTTGTTTCCCTTATCTAGACCTATTGGGCACACGGCAATTGCATTGTTCGATCAAGGTAGTGTACCGAGAAGCATCATGAGCAAGTCAGTATTTAAATTTCAAAATTTCCTCCCTATACGATAAAATCGGTCGCCCATCTGGACACTATTTTATCGAACCCACATTATTTCCACCCGGACACACTAAAAGTAGCGAAATATTTGGTATTAGAGACGTTGCACTGCAAATGTTATCCGTAGCGGTTCATAAAGCACCTTAATGACATAGCAAAGCGAGATCGTGCAGAAATAATCCAAAAGAAGCAGATTTTTATCGGACTGCTGTGCACTGGTAGTCATGTTATGCAAATGACCGCAAAACGTCCTCGTGCTTCAGTGCAAATGGTGTACAACGTGGCTAAACTGCGTTTGCTCACCTCGACAAGACCTTTAGCTATATGTTAGATCAAGACAGCAACAACGCGGTCATGCTTGTCTCACTGCCTATACAATTTTACCTGTAGCTGAGGTGACAGGTATGTCGGGAGCACTGACGGAAATGCAGTTGTCAGGATCAGTGAATATATTCCGAAACGATTCCGCCGTCGGATGGGATCAGTGACGACAGAATCAGGTGGCTTGATAAACTGAGTTGCGTTGTCAATCATGTCACTTGATGGGCAATGGTACCCGAGTCAATCCCAATGAGTCATCCACCATTCTACACGCGATCCGCGGTCGAACATGCTGTTATCAGTGATGGAGATCGGCCACTGCTGCATGCGTAGTAACAGATGGCTGTGAATCTGAACATGTCATAGCAGCGCGTGTCCCATCGATTGGCCAACGTCTGGCTAGCCGTCGATCTCGTACCACTTGCTTTTTGTAGATCTATGACTGTATACACGATTGTGGTTGATGAGTGTGCACGAAATGGCTTAATCATCTGGCGACCTACCTAGTCTGATTTTCCGGTTAGGAAGTATGATTTCTGTTAGTGTGTATCAGACAAAGTCGCCATTTATCTAAGAAAAAGAACAGATTATCTGTACTTATTTCAGCTACATCACTGCTGCTTTGCAATAAAGTTAGCCGTTTGCAATATGACAACCACATTTTTGGAGAATAGCGGACAAACTCCAAATGCTCGCGGATACCTTATATTTGTGGTATTTATGCACATGGTGAGTCGATATTCAGGGGCTCCGTTTCACCTTGCAGAACGTTTTGAACGCTACGGAGTACTGGAACTGCCGGAAATGGTAACAACTCAAGCTCACGTAAAAACACGCTCTTCCTAACTTTCAGCTGGACTCAGTTTCGTTTTTAGACTGAGGATGGCATGAGGGGTCGCTGCGGTTGCTTATTAAGCCCTGGGTCTCTAACCGAAAATTCACCACTTGTCCTGCTGCATTGCATTACTGGCTGGTCAGCCGCGAGCACTTTAAAGCATCACCCTAAGTTGCTGCCTCATGTACAGTTTGGTCACCGACTATCGACATTCACTAACTTGCATATTGACAACAAATCCACTAGATTCACTCCAAATCCTCCCGTCTGTGAAAATCGTGGGCTAAAGTGCTTCGGGTGAGCAATGTTCACAAAGCACCCTCCGGTCCAGCAACCGTGGTAAGTTTCCATAGCTTTCTTCCGGACGGCCTAACTTCACAGCGAAATACTATGTGGATCTAAATTGTGCGTTGTATTCCTTACACCAAAACCCAATCAATTATCACACGCCCGAAACAACCCTGTGCTACCGTTTGGTCCTTTCAGGAATCGGCATCATTGCAAAGTGGGGTTATGGCCGCTGTGATACGTGGGGGCAAATACCGGCCTCTCTGTTGCTAGATGCTTGGGTGGTTGGGTGGGCTGCTCTGTCTACTGCACGGCATTAACTTTCAACTTTCAAATTCTATCAATAACTAAGTCATGTCACTCTTTGCGGCCGTCCGTAGCCAATGACCTTAAGTACTGACTAGCAATAATATGCCTACTGGTATGCGCACTACTAACGATTGCTGTGTAGGGATGGTATGGCCGCAGGGCGTTTCCCGGGAATTATGATAGCTGACATTTTATATGTGATTAATTCATTGTACAGCCGATTTTGCTCCTTGTAAAAATAATATGGCGTACTAGCAATAAACTATGTGGGATAAAGCAACATAGGAAAAAGAGCTGATGTGAAACTGGTCATCCAAATCGTGCCAAATGTGGGCAGGATGATTCCAAGCGCCTCTAACCTACTCTTGGTTTTCAAGGACTTCAACGTGCGTTCCTGATCTTTGGTGACCTATTTTCATTAATACTCCGGGTACAAAAGCTTGAAGTAACTTTGGCTACTTATAATTCAAATAAGCTGCCATTGTAACTCATCGTCTGTAACTTTCGACACGTCACTAGTTAGCCATCTGCGCTGTGGTTGGTGACTCCGCTTCTTTAATGTGATTCGCATAAACTTGGTAAACCTAACTACAATCTTCGCGCATCCTCCTACATTCTCCTAGATATCGCCACCTCACATCTGTGTATCTGCCGATCGATACTACCTGATTTAGATACTTAGGATAATAACATAGACGAGCATTTGTGCAAAATTGGTTCGAGTATCGCATTTATCGTCAGCATATGAAGCGGCAAATAACCCAGCTACAGCTGAGGTCTGGAATCAATCCGCCATTTATGACCCTGTACCGACATGACCTAGAGAGCAGACAGATTTGTCGCATCGGACCAACAGTCGGTCATTCGCAGTGTTTTGTTCCGGAGGTTGATTCGAAGGATTGTATATGGGCGGTGCCGGACAATTTTGACCTCCGTAGGTTGAAGGTATGTATCAGCAGTAGCTGTGTGGGCGGAACAACAGGAGTTGTTTTCATCATTTGACAGTGACTTGTGCCGCAAAACAAAACAGTCTAATGGGAATCGATTGACCTCAATGTATTGTACAACCCCTCGATGGCGATGCAACCACGCCCAAAGGAAAATGCTTTGTGGCCACAGATTACACTTCGTAGAAGCTAGAATCTTGAAAGGATGATCCCTTAAAAATTTAGCGTAACAAAACTTTTAGTGATGTGAATTTGACTCATCTAAGTGCCCACTTTTCCTTTTCTTAACTTGATATTGGTGTTGTGCGATAATGCAATAAACATTTGCAAAAATATCAGCTGTGACTATCCTGGTTTGTTTTCTGAAGTTTGGCTACAAATAATTTCGTGATGAGATGCAGGATGAGCTGAATTTGACCTGAACTAAATTTTACACGGTCATGTTGCATTTATCACTGCAAGACTGACAGTAAGAAGGATGTGTTCAATGGTCGGCTGTTATTTGTAGAGCACTACAGTTATATCCGTTGGCCATCTTGCACGCGAGACATTTTGCTTGCTCGAAAGTTACGTGTTCACTACCCCGTTGTAAAAGGGCGCGTGAGCTGCAATGGAATATAAATACTTATCCTAACCTGCAACATGGGATCTCATCTAAGTGCTTAACTGCTTACAGCCTGCTGCTTGCTCAGAGGTTGCATTCAACAGCAAGCCCCTTTCACACCGCGCATAATTGCCGAGTAAACGATCCAAGAGAAATGGTGCTACATTCTAATTTTATTTTCTCATCTCCACACCGATTCGATTTCGATGCCATAGGAACAAACTGAGTAGTTGGTCTAGGCAACTTCATCAGTAGTTTTGCGTCTGAAACAATCAAATGAATCTGTTTCTAGCTTCCTCGGCTTTCTCGGCATGCAATATACGCCGTAGATGCACCAAGCTGGGTGTAGCCGCAAGGTGGCCAGTCCATTACGTGGCACAGTAGCATGAAGAGAATGACTGACAGACTTGGTCGGGCGGATGCGTACCGTCTTCGTGGATGGGGGCCTCGGGATGGTCCACACCAATGGTTAGCCACGGTATCAGACATGTCGCAGTCTCCCAATTAGTGGTCTTTCTGCATTCGGTTTCTTGCTTCTGGTGTTTAATGTTCGTTCCGTTCTAATTATGTTAACACACCTTCCTGCTCCCATTTTCTTTGCATTCCGTTTGTATTTCGCCTCAATAAATTGCAGTTGTTATTTATTCTTCTTGCGAGGTGAGTCGTAGCAGCTGGATCCACCACATTTCGGTGCTCGGATCATAGCTGATCAACTGAACTGAATTGCACTTGTTGTTAACATTAGTAGGTTGAAACATGTTTCTTTCTTCTCAGGGACAATTTTGAGTTTGAGTCGCAATCCCGCCAAATCTACAGGACAAGTGTGGCATTGCGAGAGGGTATCATGTAACATGTATCTGTTTCAGGCACGGTCTCAGTGATCGAATTGACGGCGGCTCGTATTCCATTCACATGACTGCACCAAATGACGCCTCCAGTGCGTCACCAACTACAGAGGAGTGGTGGTCTCAACTCAGGCTGGCAACAGTCGAATTGTGCGCTCGCTTTTTACAAGGATCAGATGGAATGGGCAACGTTACCGACTACCGAAATCCTGAAACTGCTGTACAGTACTTTTCCGAGCATGTGGTGGCTATCTGCTGAGGCTGAACATGATGAATTTCCACCTAGAGTCACTAACTGTTTTGACAATCGTCACTATCTACTCCGTGGCTTTTAGAATCTCACGCTGACATCCCAAAATCCCGAGTTCGTGTCGCAATCCCGTCTGGTTTGCCGTATTAGCGCAGCGTTGCGATTGCTCAAGGTCTAACATTTATATTTTCCTTTGTTTGGGGTCTGGATGTTGCAGTACCTCAGCTAAGATGGTTTAACAAACTCAAGATTTAAGCCCGAATTAAACGTTGGGAAGCCACGTCCGCAACCTTTTAAAGAAACCGACATTTGCTTTTATTGTTATGAAACAATAAACATGACACTATTTTACTCCAGAAAATCACCCACGTCTCCCTACGTCGGAACAACCATAACTTCAGGATCAGCTTTCTGAATCTCGCAAATGAGAAAACATGAAGCACAAAGGAGAGATATCCATCTTGTCGATGTGCCACCATTAAATGACTAATGCTATCTTGTTGCAAGCCACATCATCTGCTCACAGCAAATTTTCAATTCTCATCGACCTTTCATCAAAGTGAGATCCATTAGCCAAAAGAGAGGCTGTACCATTCCACGTAACACATTATCGATGTCGCTACACAGAAGTGTCGTGCATAGTGAGTTTGAACAATGCTGACCAGCACGCTGGAGGGCGGTCAATTATATAACGGAATGTTTGCACTCTAGCCTAGTTTCGTCGGGTTTTATTACATTCCATTGATAGTTATTGCTAAAAGCACTTCCAATACTACGGGAACCGTCGACAATGTAGCGCGGACCATTTGTCCTCAGATAAAGGCTTGCATCTTTTCGATTTCTTCCTTCTGGTGTGTACTTGTACACGGTTACCGCGCCCATGCAAGTAGGTAAGCCCGAGCAACATTTCGCAATAGATGCGTTCACTGTCCATAGCACGCATACTCATAACAATACAAACTTCCTCCACGGAAACTTCTTCGTCAGTCATCCTTCACTTGTTAAGTGACAAAGGTTGGATTGTAAATACAGCAAATAATTCATTGTTTTACTGTACGCCTTGAAAATATTTTTTATGGTATCATTCAGGTTCATGTAACTTAAGATGTTTAATATCTAGACGCCATTATAGTAACAGACCGCCGATAGGGTGTTTAAGTAGAAGATGGAATAATGCTTTTGCTTTATAAAGGTTGGTGAAATATCTTACGGGATGTGTCGATTTCTTCTTAGTGATGTTGCCTGTTGATCTTGTATGGTATGCTTTCTAATCGAGTAGAAGAGTTGAGTTGGAGATCTTTAGTTTAGTCGTTAACCAGCTTTACGATTTTCCAATGTGCATATTCTTCTTAAGTTAAACTCCTTATTTTCAGTGCTCGAAATCCACCATAATTTAAATCACGCTTTACTGCTTTCTCTGAATTACTTCGCTGCAAATGCACATTTGTCGCTAACGCAGCATTACAAATGGTAGCGATCTTCAGCTTGCGTGTAGTATCTGTGAACCAGGCGCTGTCATGTAGTTGGCAACATGCGACATTACTGCGATCTGTAGCACTAGAGCAGTGGTTCACAACTCGTTTGGAATTGTCACCCACTAAAAAATTTTCTTTGAGAAACAGATTAGCTAGCAGTTATCGCATGTTTACCCACAAAGTGAATTTCAATCATACAAACAAAGGGATCGACTATTTTTGAACAATTTCTGTTGCTAACTCTGGTGGTGATGCGAAATTAATTAGATGAGTGGTATTGCTTTGGTTCAGTTTCGGATAATATAGGTCGCAAGTGGTGTTGCAAGCTGAATCAGTTCCTTCCATTTTATTTTGCTTCACTTTCACATAAACCATGATATGTTCATTAGTTAGTGAAATCGGCGACAACGCCACTTGCATGAATTGATCATAGGGCAGCGAACAACTGCCTGACTCAAACGAACAACGAGCGACCTGATAGACGCGGCGTCCAAATGCGCTGCGGTGCAGGCTTGTATTCATATTGAAGTTAATGACAAGCAATGCCTGAAATGGTCTAATACACTAAGGAATAACTGATGATTTGTCACTAATAACTAATCAGTGCCTAGGTAAGGATGAGGCAGTTACTTAGTTGATTTGATAGGAACCATCTTGTTAATAATTTCGTTGCTTGGCTGAACAATGACCCAATCCTTGTACTTAATTTGGTCCTACTTAAAGTCCCGTTTTAACCCTTTGGAAGTAATTACCCCGAGTTGAAATTCCTTGTACTATCGAGCAAAGAGTTTGTTCGGACTAATTGCGCTGTTGCATAGATGGACCCAAAACACCAAAACACTCAATTGCACTTTCCAGAAATGCTGGAGCATTCAGTTCGTCTCGGCGCGCCACTGACTCGGAATCTGAGCGAATGGCTAAGGGGAGAAACCAAAGTATTGGGCCTCAACTCAATGCTTGCGCTGGAGTAGGTTCTGTTGATCATGTGCGCTTGTAGGTATCCAGAAGATTGCTTGAATGTAGGAGGTCAGCAGATCTCATAATTATGTTGCGAGCTATGGACACCCGCGGCAACGATGTGACATCTGTACACGCAACTAGAGAGAAATTGGTGCGGTGTGGGCTTATCAAAAAATGATTGAGCTGCACACCGTTCTAGTTATACAACAGTTCACTTCTGTACTGTTGCAGCTGCCTGGTCTAGAATACACCAGATTTGATCACGGGGTGATAAACCTACTACCTCAGAAGTATCGTTGACTATGACCTGCATGTAAGGTAATTACCCCACAAGAACGCTGGCTGAGGAAAGCCACTGCTTACCGTTAATATCCGCCCTCCGCATTAAAATTTTCGTTTTTGTTTCCGAGCAATTGGAACTGACCAATCTGATCAAGTCTCCCAGCTCCTGACCACTGACTGTGCCTCCTCGGTCTCGGTCGATGATACGAAAAATCTCACGAAGCTCTAGAATGCGTGATAGAGAATAGGACAGCAAAAGATTAAACATGCAGAATTTACTTTAAGAAGAGCTGTTATCCTGGTTTTAAAAGATTACGAGATTTTCTGGAATCCAAATAGTATCTGATAGGGCTTACACCCACAATGCATGATCTGTGGTTTTCCTTCACACAAAAGTATTCGAAATAGGAACACATTAAAAATAAGTACAGTTTTGTGAGATCTGTTCATGATCATTGATCTTTCATCCTGAACTCAGATACTGACGCACCGATTCAAAAGTTATTAGCGTAAAACTGTAGTTCACTTCTGTGAGCCACTTATAAACCATTGCATTCTTAAGCTTAATTTACTGTGCTAATATCGGTTGGAGCTCATCCTTGTATGCCCTGACCTAGACCTAACATGGGATATTCATGGTTTCATGACAGTTTCTGACGTCCAAAAACTACCTCAATAGTACAGACTTCTCAAATGTGCTACTCTATGGAACTCGCTGCCGGGTGATAATACTGAAGTGCTGACCGAACTTGCTGGGCTGGTTCAACAAATGCTAAACTTAGGTGTAGTCAAATGCACCTTATTGGGCCGATGACATCGACGACAACAGATTTTGCAATCTCCGATTGTTCGCGCATGAAAAGCTCAACTGCTCGAAGCAAACTTAGCTGGAAGCAGCATAAGCCCTAAAGCACTTTGGTCTTCCGTTAATGTGAGTTTTGATGTTTCGATTCGTCAATCCTACCTGCACCACTCTAGGTATTCATACAGTGCCACACCAAAAGCGTTGTCGAAACCTGCTTGCATTGGCACAGACAATAACCGACCGCTTCGTTATGTATTAGTAAAGACGTGGAAGGGACCAGCGTGAATGGTTTTCACGGTGTTCAGAGTAGATCTAGCGGCATCGTTTGCGTTAGCAGATGTAACAAGTAAAAATTGGCCTCAGTAGCTTCTCTGGTAGATAGCCCATTTTAATAGCATATTTTATGCAAATTTGTCAAATTCATCTCAATTAACTGACGACAAATATGAGATAGTCGCTGCTTCAATTGTTTCATTTTTCGATTAATCTAACTTAAGCTGTATCTTAGTATTTCGGCAAAACATCCGCAATCAAACAACTAGTTTACAGATTTTCCAATTCTATTTGGTGTGAATATTGTGCTATCCAACTAACTCGTTTATGTTAGTGGGGTCAAGCATTGCTTGAGCAGAAACGGTTAGGAGACTTGCTGTTGGGTGTGTGAAGACATCTCACTTTCGAACACAACTGCAACGTTACGTTCTTTGAGCCGCAGTAATTGACATAGGCTCGACTTATACCTCCGACAATCCATGTTTGTAGCACCAATCATCGCAGGGAACCTGTTTCTCCATCCTCGGAAATGTGGAGGTGATGACAACATAAGCCTTTATGAAACAATAACAATGGTTGGATGACACAAGATGTTCCCCACTGAAAGTCACTAGATCCATCGTGCCATCGCCCTTCTGTCTTACATGACAGACCTGTTGTTCATGCCATTAACTTACAACCGGACATTCTGCCCGTCAAGGAAACCGAATGCGAGATTCATGTTTGCCAATTGTTCCTCAGTGATATCCTCATGATATCCTAAACGTACCCAAACAAATTGAAGGTTTAACGAAGCACAACTCTTCTTACAAACATTATTTAAAGAAATATGCAAAATCCTATAATTCAAAACTATTGACCATACTCCTTTCTTCATTAGTCTATTTGACACAAACGGTAATCCAGGTGTTGTCCGTGGTGCACGTTCTATGTTTTCAATATACTCACGCTTCCCGAGACGGATCATGTACATAAGTGCAGAAAGTACAAAAACACCAAACGTCCTTGGCATTTCTCTCAGCTTGACAGATCGTAAACGATTCTATGGGCTGGATTCTAAAGTGCATCTCTCTTTCCGCACTAAAATTGGGGGGGGGGGGGCTAGCATACTAATGCTATTGCCGAACGCATTTACAGTACCAACGGAATATATCCACTTTCCTGGCAAATAGGAAATATTGCTTATCATGGGGGTGGGAGCATACAGCCAATCAATACTTACCAACCGGTCAATCAAATCCCATATTCGCAAGTTTATTATTAAGAGTATGATGTACGGTGTCACTCTTTCGTGGGCTGACGAACAAATTCCAGTATGGCTCCTTGGGAAGCCGTCGTGCGTGTCTACCGATCTGATGTACCCTTCAGAAACTGTCGACGGCGCTTGTGAAATTATAGTCCTAATATCAACCATGCTAAAGCATTCGAACGAGTTCCCCACGAACTGTAAGTGCAAGCTAATGTTTTGGAGTCTGTGACCCAATTCTAGTTGGAACATCCTCACGCATGAATTGTTGTTTTGGAAACACTTTAAGTAACCGTTCAGTTTCACCATGACTACCAGTTAGTTGTGTTATCCAAGGAAGCGTTCTCGGTATAATGCTGTTTTTGCTATGTGTCAACATCATCATGTCCGGTAACTATGGCAGATTCGACATACAGCCATAAGCGCAAAAGCGGTGTGCAGAGTAGTTCTACCTGGAAAAACTATTCCCTTGAATAACTCAGACAACTACGTTATATAACTATGCCCTATCACATACAGTAAAATCAATTCTATACCGGTAACATCAAAACATTTGGCGGGATAACCTGAATACGGTTTTTTCGTGTATTCTTAACCAGTCGTTTATGCACATGCAGTGGTGAAATTGATGAATGCCAGTGATCAATTAAGTGTCATTTAACCTTAAAATGTATGTAATAAACTTGTGCAAGGTTTCCCATGGTCAAGTGCAAAGTGAACCTTGGCCGTTTGGTTTTCACATTTCCATACGACTTGGTAAATATGATCCAATAAAGATTGGGGCTCAGTTTGAGCATATGCATCAGCGCATTTCCAATCTGATGCCTGCGACAGATGTTAGAGGCAGCTGGTTTACGGTCAATTCAGTGGACCTTGTTAGCCAATTCTGTGCTACACAGGCGGAAGAAGACAGGGTCCTCACGAACGCTAATCCTGCTTCGTTGATGCAGGTACATAGAAATATAAAGACTATTATACCAAGACCTAATGTGAGTTATGGTGTTTCATAACGAAAAAAGCAGAATTTTGTTCAGAAGATGCAAATGGTGCTCATGGATAGAGATAGATTCCTTACAGATCTGACGGGATGTGATAGAAACGAAAGCTTATAACACCCATAGTCGGTGAACTGCAAAGGTTATTCAAGGACGAATTAATCAATACAAAGAATAGAGTGGAGCTCCGCAGTCGTTGCTCAACGCTTTTCGAACGTGTGAATATGTGGAAGTGCACAAAAAGCGGGTCCCGTGGCGTGCAATCACTTCAATGATTAGTGCGCCACACTATAAGCTGGTACGATGCTTGGCCAGAATAATCCAGCCCATTCGGCTTATGTTAGCTGTACCTGTGTGAAGGGCACTTTAGAATTTTTTGTCAAGATTCTAATGTGGATCTTTCGACATCGATTTACTTGTCACGAATGGTGACGACGCTGGACACCATGGATATACATGTGAACAAAGTGGGTTTCCCCTCGCACCAATTATAGTCTTCGCTCTTCATTCACAAGAAGAAAGTACAATTTAGCTTCGATGAAAACATATTCCAGTAAATTGAAGGTGCACTGACTGGCGGTACTTTTGGAAGGGACTTAGTTGATATCCTCTTGGGTCTCCTAAAAAATGATCCATTGCGTCTCGACCTAGTGGAGAGAGTTTTATACCCGGTACAGAAAATACACACGATTTTAGACTCTTTTCAGAGGACAGTGTATGTTAGAGGTATTAAAATGGTCTTCAGGAGATAAAAATATGTATGAAACGAGTCGGCTGACCAATCTCATTTATTACATGCCACTTTGAAGAGAAGGGCAGTCTACTGGTTAATAAGATCGAGTCATTGTAATCCGAGTAAACTAGAGTAACAGCAAAAGTTCAATTTAATCTCATCGAAACGCCAAGCGATCCCTGGCTTTCACTTGTTTTGTGCGAGCTTGACGAATATGTTCAGAAAGGCTTATTACAAGTGACTTATATTACAGTGTCCACCCTACGTGATATAGAGCACTTCATTAAATTTGTTGCCGCATATGGGAATGTGATACCTGACGGGAACAGTCCAGTGTCATTAGAAAATGTGTTCATTACACTGATCTTCAATGAGAAACACAGAATATAAGATCCTGTTACCGACTATGGCAATCCATCAATAAATGTCACAAACCAACGGACTTAATGCTATTATGCTAGCGCCGTTTACCAACTCTGGGAGATCATTCACCAGTGGCATTTAGGGAGTGTGTTGATTCCCAAAGTTGATCTTAGTAGACCATTTCAACGAGTGTCACCAGGGGCGTAATCCCAGAAGTTTGGAGATCGACCAGAATAATTACAGTACATAAAAAGGAATCCCGTAATCTCCTCCCATTGTGTGTGCACGTGTGTTGCGAGAAGTCTCCGAAAAACTGCTTGTACGGTGATTTTTCACAGCCAACACTTCAGGATATTTATAAGCTTACCCATAGATCTTAGCATTTCACACTGAATGCCGTAGAATATCTTGATCATTCCAGAGCTTTTGCAATAAAGTGTAAATGCGGACCTGTACAGCTCTTTACCTTGCTTATTCAAATTCCTTCGGAAGCCTGAATCGATCAACCTTACTCAGTCTGCTTTTCGGAGTGGCCGACATGTGCAATTTGGTGGATGACTATATTAATTCTCTTAATTGCGTCAATAGTTTAGACGGTATACAGTCTTCCGTTTTACCTTTCGACTGTGGCACCTTTCGGGGAAATATTATATTACCTTTTTGAATATTGTTATGTATTGAAAGTCTCCCTATACCATCTGGAGATATTGAATCCAAACATACAGAAGACTTTGTAGTATGGTACACGGCTCCCACTGTTCAGTTCCCTTCGACGCCTCAATATGGATTAGAAGAACTGATGAGGTTGTC